GGCTCAGCGCTGTCTTCTTAGAACAAGGAGGAAAACATGGTTCATTCCGTTCTGCAGTGATGCCCATTCAGACATGGAAAGGCGGTGTTAGCCATCCTTCCGTGTTCTCATTCTCTGCCAAGTGTGTCTCGTTTCTGCCACAGCCTCGCTGGGCAGTCCCCTCGAACAGCAATGCTTGGATTAATGTGCTAACTGACACTCGAGAGATGACAGGGTGTTGAAGCTCAGCAGCAGCCTTCCCATCAGCCTGAGAGATGACCCTCCCCTGCTCCCCCCACACCACTTACACAGCAAGCCTGGGGCAGGCTGGGCCGTCTTTATTCCTTTGTATCTGCTCACATTCACCTAAACGGGTGGCCATTACATCTACAAATGGGTTCAGTGGTGCGAACCCCTGCAATGCCTGCTTAGCACTCCTGTACAAAATCACCATCCACAGGCACCTCTCTGCCTTGGTCAGCAGAGCACCTTTTTTTCAATCTAAGGTAGCATTGCACTGAGACGCTTCTAGCCTTCTTCCACATGCACTTGTAGTGACAACATGTCTGAGAGAGAGACAGGAGTAGCTGGAACTGGGGTGAGGCCAGTGAGGTGCTGGCTTCAGGTGTGAAGCTTAAGGGGGTACCCAAAAGCTCAAGAATCAAAATAAGTAACAGTTGAATGCAATAATTGTTAAAAAAACAACATGACGCGGTGGCTCACGCCTGTAATCCCAGCACTTTGGGAGGCCGAGATGGGCGGATCACGAGGTCAGGAGATCGAGACCATCCTGGCTAACATGGTGAAACCTCGTCTCTACTAAAAAATACAAAAAACTAGCCGGGCGAGGTGGCGGGCGCCTATAGTCCCAGCTACTCGGGAGGCTGAGCCAGGAGAATGGCGTGAACCCGGGAGGCGGAGCTTGCAGTGAGCTGAGATCTGGCCACTGCACTCCAGCCTGGGTGACAGAGCGAGACTCCGTCTCAAAAAAAAACAACAACATGAATGCAAAATAACCCACGATGAACAGATATCAAAATGTTAAAGGAAGACAGGATTAAAGGAATTTAAATTAAGTATAGGTGCTGAGCCCTACACTTGTGTGACTCGAGAATGCCTCTCTGGCTTGCCCAGACCTAGCCTGGCTGGAAAGAGCTCCTGACCAGAACAGCAAGGTCTGTGCTTTGCAAACACGCAGGAAAGGCAGTTCCCTTGATGCTTCTGGTTTATAGACCAAGCCCCGGCCCAACCTAACCATAAGGCTGAACAACCAATCTTTAAAGGCAATAAATGAATGCACCATCCTTCACTGCCCTACGGTCTTTAACATGCTGATGGCCACACATGGAAGTCACTCAGATCCCAGGAGCCCTCCTCCCAGGGTCACTCTCCCCCTGCACGGCTTCTCCTTCCCACTTAGCTTGTAGGTCCTATCAGCCCAGCCCAAAGCACCTCTCTGCCTTGGTAGTTAGCCCAGTGCAGAGCCACCAGGCCTTGCTCTAGTTAAGGAACACCAATGTCTTCCACCAGACCATAGGCTCAAGGAACACAGGGTCCTCATCTGTGTTGGAGGAACTCCATGAGTCCTTTCAAGGATGGATAATCATCCATATGCTCCTGGATTCCTAGTTTCCATCAATTTCTAGCAACTGTGTTGAGTTCTTTGTTTTCTAGCTTCTCAGTGGCTTCTCTCAGTACCCAGTACCAATCTCAAGTCTGAATGTGTCTGTTCCTGTGCTTCAGATTCGGATGCAGCATGTTGGTCGCTAGGTAAATGCATGGGGGCACCTGTGGACATCTAAGATGAACATCCTGCAGGACAGTGCCCTGCATGAGCAAAGTATAACTGAGAAATCCCAGAACCTGCACTGATACCAGGACCTGAGCCTTAATCCTTGAAGTTGCTCTGAAGCTGGGGAAAACACCATCTTTCCTAACAATTCAGCAACATCAACCTAGAAGGAGCTTGAGGGAGCAGCCCTAAGAGGCTGTACATGCAGCATGTGGACAGGAAGGCACCTGTGTTTTGGGTGAAGCTGTTCCTTGAAAGCATCGCACCAGCCATGCCGGTGCTGCCAACACCAAATAAGCCTTGCTGCAAAGCAGCATTCCCCACCTGGATCTCTCAGCAGGGTTAGCCCCAAAACGCTGAGCCCAGCAGGCCCCAAGCAGTCCCATATCCCTCCAAAGTGGAGCTTTCAAGTCACAGGAGCCAGGACACGAACATCACGGCCACTTGCCACCCCTCTCCCACCACCTTTGGGAGCTCAGCCCTCCTTCAGTCATAAGAAGAAGGTGGGGACGTCCCTGGCCCACCCCGTTAATGAGCCTTTCTAAAAAGATTGGTTCAGAGGCACCACTGTCTGGACAAACTTTAAATTGTGTGTAAAAATGCACGTGTATGTTTACTGCAGCACAATTCACAATTGCAAACATATGGAACCAATCTAAGTGCTTATCAACTGAAGAGGAGATGTGATATATATATGCCATGGAATACCACTCAGCTATAAGAAAAGAACAAAATAATGTCTTTTGCAGCAACTTGGATGGAACTGGAGGCCATTATTCTAAGTGAAGTAATTCAGGAGTGGAAAGCTAGATATTGCATGTTCTTACTTGTAAGTGGGAGCCAAGCCACAGGCATGCAAAGGCGTAAGAATGATATCAGGGACACTAGAGACTCAGAAATGGGGGTAAGAGGGGGGTGAGGGATAACAAACTACATATTGGGTATGACATATACCACTCAGTAATGGGTACACTAAAATCATAGCCTTCACGTATACAATTCATCCATGTAACCAAAAACCACTGGTACCCCTAAAGCTATTAAAATAAAAATGAATGAATGAATGATATGTAAAAAATTACTGAAAGAGAAAGTAATCCCTTTGAGGGCGTCTTCCATGTCCTCGACACACATATCCTTCACCCATAGCCTAGATGTAATAAGGAAGTGTGATGACAGGCAAGTTCAAGGCAAAAATCTTTTGAAAAATAAAAACACCCAGTCATAGTCAATTCCTATGAAGTTATTTTTTCTCCTTTTTTTTTGGTCATAAAAGGTAATTAATCTGAAAAGAAATGGTTTTTACAGAAGTATTTTACCATTACCCAGTTTTTTATATTTGTGCAAATTGATTTTTATACTTTATTTTTGTATTAAAAATATACCAGCATATCTATTTGCAGTGAAATTTTGAAAAGGGAGCAGTCTACTATCAGAGTGTTCCACAGTTTTCCAACATAATTTTTAATAAATCCTTTGAAATTTCACCCCTTCCCAACAGCTAACATTATGATTTGGCTTTTAAGTTCTTCTCTAGTAGACTCTGAGGTTCTTAGAAGTAAAGGATGAACCTTAAAACACGTGCACTCAGACCATGGCCCAGAGAGGGAGGCTGTTACTAAGTATACCTGCTGAATTAATAAATAAATGGACTTTGACAGTAGGCATTTCCTTTGGCAATAATTCAGTCTTTCCCAGAATGTGTATTGTAAAATAAGATTGAAACCAGGGCAAAGAACATAGTAATCAGCGCTACTTGTAGGTACTCTTTTTATGTATAAAGCACAAGGACCTCATTTTCCTTGTTCCTTTCCTGTTCCTGTGACTTTACACCTGGGCCACTGGATGAATGCCTTTGGTCCTGGCCAGAATCTGGCCCTTGTGTAACCACAGCCTGCCCATCTGTGGCTGATTGTGGCCTTGCAGGAATGAGGGCCTGGGGTACAAGAGCTTCTACTGTTTCAAGAGATGCTATAAACATGGAGTTTTATGGGAAATCTCTTGATTTTAAAATATTTGTCCATATTTCATTTGTTTTGCTTTTAGACAAATCTTGTCTCAGGTCTGTCTCTGGGCCCCCAATTTGCAATTTATGTGCTATGGACTGAATAGGTCCCCCCAAAATTCATATGTTGGAACCTAACCCCCAGTGTGCTGGCGTTAGGAGGTGGGGCCTTTGGCAGGTGAAGCCTTCAGGAATGGGAGTAGTGCCCTTATGAGAGGGGCCTCAGAGACCTCGTTTGGCAAAAAGAGCCGTCTTAGAAGCAGAATGCAGGTACCCCCCAGACAAGAGGAAATCTGCAGGTACCTTGATCTTGAACTTCCCAGCCTCCAACACTGTGAGAAATAAATGTGTTGTTTATAAAGTCCCCAGTCTATGGTATTCTCTTACAGTAACCTGCGTGGACTAAGCCACGATGCTTCCAACCAAACTGGCACACAGCCCTCAGAACCAAGCACAGTCCACTCCCTTGCTTCACTGAGATGGCTTCTCAATTTTCACCTCCTTCTCAGAGGCTTTCCCCGCCCATCCTCCAAATGTGATTGAACAAATGCTCAAATCACATTTGTTCATGTGTTAAGCTGTCACCTCCCCTCACTGGGGTCTCAGTGCCAAAGGGACAGGGACCTCGTGTGCTTGTCCTCTGTCTCTCCTTAGCTCCCGGACATGCCCAGCACACAGCAGGCTCTCAGAAAAACCCACCTGGATTGCGGGGAAGGACAGAAAGCAGCCACCCTACAGAGAGCTGGGCCTTTCCTAGGCTGATGGTTGAGGGCCTCTGTTCACCGACATACAATGTCTGACCTTTCTTTCACATCTACTCAATTATTCGCTTTTGCTTCCCAAGACATTACATAAGACTTTCCAACAGCTATTCAGTCTGATAGAAACCTTAAAATGATTCTGGAGCACAGAACCTGGACCCTCCTGTGCTTCCCATGGGAGGAAGCCAAGATCTGGGCTGAAAGAGCACAGTTCAAGGTCAGGCTGCAGGTTTGTGCTGGTAACCAGAAGCCACACTGTTCTAGTCTCACATGGGGTCAGCAGCGGCACATGCCTTAGAATGGTGTAGGACCTAAATGAGTAACTGCAAAATACTTCTCTCCTCCTCCTTCCTGATATAAAGCCATCAGGGCCCCCCAAGCCCCAAGCTGGGGCAGAAACCACCACTCCTCCCTCTGCACACAAGCCATGAAGGCAGCCGTCCGCCCCAAGCACGGCACTCACCTTTGAGGACAGGCCTCTCCCCGATGCTGTGGATGCTATAGGCAGCACTGGACAGGGGTGCATCTGGAATGAGCTCTGCGAGTAGGTATCCCGAATACCAGGCACACAAGGAGGCAAGGACCAGGAACACTACCTTGAGCGGGCCTGCAGAGAGGATACCAAGCAGCTGCTGTGAAGGACTTGGTGGTGGCCCCGGCCCTTGGCTCTCCCCATCCCTCTGTGGCTTTTCATCCTGGCCCAGTGTCAGGGGACTGAGCTATAGGCAAGGTGGGAGGCGGTGTCAGGGCCTTCGTAGTAGACAGTATCAGAGAATACAAACAAGACAGGAATGCTTTCAAGGGCAAGTTGTATTTGCTGTTGGTTTGGGTCTTAAGTGCTTCCTTGAATGTTAATGTCAAAACAGCTAATCAAGCACCTTGTGAACCAGCATGCCCAACGTGAACCTGAAAAAACAAAAGTGGCTCATTCCCCCTGTGAGATACAACTGGATTTGAGCACGCTCCTGCAATTACACTGAAACTTCAGGGGTAAAGCTCTGTCCCTTTGGTTTATTTCCATATCACCAGCACTGGGAATAGTAGCTGACGCCAGCAAGCATGCAACAGATTCCTGCTAGATCAAGGCCTGGTCACATAACACTGGGGAAAAGTCCCCAAACCTGTTCTATCATCGCGGATGTGCCTGCTGGGCCAGTCAAGGTTCCCAATGACAGAAAGTCCCTGGAGATATATTTCTGGTTGATTGGCAACAATATCTTACTTCTCTTGTTTGATGTGAGCAGCACAATTTCCAAGGAAAAGACATTGATCTCCTCCTGGGCCACCAGAGGTCTGGGGGTTGTCTTTTCATAGGCAACCCATGGCCTAGGCTTTTAGAATTTGCTCCCTAAATACAGCATAGATCAGAACTCATTCAGCAGTTCGCTTACCCAGATTGCTACCATGCAGGGATGACCACAGGCCTTGAGTAGGATGGGTTATGGTGTATGTGCCTAATGCATTTAAGTATGTGCTAATAGGTACAGTCCTAAGAATTAAGAGAAGGAAGGAAGAAGGGAGAGAGACAGGGAGGAAAGAAGAAAGTAAGTGAAGGGGAAATGAGGAAAGGAGGAAAAAGGAAAGGAAGAGAAGGGAATGTCGAGTCTGAAGGACCCAACAATGGGCCCCACACCTCCACCCACCCAGGGTGCAGCTCTGGACCTCAGCTGGACTTCCAGCACCTAGTCCTTCCCTTCTCAGGAACCCAGCTGTCCCCAGCTCATGCACTGGCTGTACTGCACCAAGGCAGCGTGTGCTTGTGCTTGGAGGCCCAGCGCTTCGGCAGAGGGAGCCATGGGGATGGAAGGATATGTTTCTGGTTAGCCTTGAGGTTTTGCTTTGTTTTGCTTTTTCGAGTGCATAGTTCAACACCATTTTTAAATTTTGAATTTCCAAACTGCTAAGATTGTTAGACTAGTAAGCATAGGTGGTTTCCTCTGGGGAGAGGCCCAAGGCAGTGTGATCAGTGCAGTTTCTAGGACTGGAGGGGCATCTCAAAGTAGTTAAACCAGACACAGAAAACAAAATGAGACAGGTGTGAGCTTGCAGGTCCCTCTCCTGCAGCAGCGCCAACGGCTGTGCTCAGCCACCTGTGGGCGCTACACTCCCGGGCTCACTCCTCTGCAACAGTGGTCTCTGCCTAGAGGGTGCTCTTCCCTACGCAGCCCAGCCACAGCGCCCACACAGATGCCACAGAAGCCTCCCTCCAGGGCCACGCAGCATGCCTGGGACACTGTGTGGGTCACTGATGTTCCAGAAAATTCTGTTGGATGAACACAGAGTGCAGAGTGGGCTATGACAACAGCTGTGACAAAGGCAAGGACCGCCCCCTGTATCCTGTGCATGTGGGTCACAGCTGGACTATTTCATCCAAGTGTTGTATTTGAAGAAGGAAACTGGCTAACCAGACAATGTTCAGAGGCTCTTCTAGACAACACGCCACACCTGAGATCCTGAGCAACAAGTTGCTGTTTAGCTTGGAGCAGGTTGAAAAGGAACATTATCTACCTTTTGAATGTGTAACAAGCAGCTACACAAAGGAAGAGGTAACTATGGCCTCAGCTGAACAAAAACAAATAGGTGGACATGACAGAGAAGAAAATGGAGAATAAATAAGCCAAGTGTCCTCACAAGAAGAAGGGTAGGTAGCTAGCCCATGGCGGGTCCTGGTGTGGCAGGGAGCTCTCTTCTGGGATACTTTTCAGGACTCCCAGGAAGACTAGAGAGTATCTGTGCTTTGGGTGAGGGGCGCATCCAATGGCCTCTAGGCTGGGGACAGTCTAGATTACAACATGCACCTGGCTGGGAGAAGCCATGACCTAGAGTCTGGAGGCAGATCCAGCCGCCGCCACTGGGGTCAGCCCATCATCAGAAGATGGGTGGTAAGCTGGACCAGCAGCCTGTGCTCAGGTCTAGCACAAAGTCACAGCAGTATCCTAGCCACGAGAGAGAGGGCAGGACATAGTAGCCAGGACGTGACAGACAAAATCCAGGCAGGCAGCATCATTTCCTCAGGCTGCTGTAACAAACTAACACAAACTGGGAGGCTTCAACAACAGACATTTAGGCTGGGCTCAATAGCTCATGCCTGTAATCCCAGCACTTTGGGAGGCCAAGGTGGAGGGATGGCTTGATCTCAGGAGTTTGAGACCATCCTGGGCAACATAATGAGACCCCATGTCTACAGAAAAATTTTAAAAGAATAGTCAGGTGTGGCGGTGCAGACCTGTAGTCCCAATTACTCAGGAGGCTGAGGCAGGATTGCCTGAGCCCAGAACTTTGAGGTTGCAGGGAGCTACAACTGCAATATTGCACTCCAGCCTGGGTGACAGCAAGACATCATCTTTTACAAAAAAAAAAATTGAAATTGAAATTTATTTTCTCAAGATTCTGGAGGCTGGAAGTCCAAGATCAAGGTTCCTCTGAGCCTCTCTCCTTGGATTGTGGATGGTGTCTTCTCCCTGTGTCCTCACAGGGCCTCTGTGTGTGTCTTCATCTCCTCCTTATAAGGTCACCAATCAGACTGGATCAGGGCTCACCCTGATGACCTCCTTATACCTGAAATACCTCTTTAACAACCCTATCTCCAGATCCAGTCGCATTCTGAGATACTGGGCAGGGATTAGGATGACAACATGTAAAGGGGGTTGGGGAGTTGTGCGGGGAGGCACAATTCAGCCCCAACATAGCACCGGGTGAGCTGTGGCACAGCCTCTCTGTGGGTTGAACACCAACAATCAGCTCAGTCCTGGGAGTGAAAGCAGGATGGGCAGGAGCCAAGGCAGCCTGTCAAGACAGAGGCTCAGACACCCGGCAGCAGGGAAGAATCAGCCCCTAAGCTGGGACACACTTGGGAAGAAGAAAGCTTGGGAGCCCAGGGCCTCCACTAAGACAACTCCCGGAGCCCCGGTGGGCCTGCCCCAAGGGGAGGAGACCCAGCAGCTTCAGAGGCGGGGCAGGAAGTACAGAGTCCAGGAACACTTCTGTGATTTTGTAACCAGGATCCTGCCTTTCCCCATAAGGTAATAAAGTCATCATCGGCTCATGGAAATGTCTTCCACTGTGCTTGCTGAGCAGCAGACAGGATGAGTGTTAGAGCAAAGGCTGTTCTTAGCACAGGAGGAAAGCCAGTGAACTTTCTCCTAAGAGACTCACCTCTAGTGTGTCTGCCTCTGTGTGAATGTGTGTGGGTGCATGTGCACGTGTCCCAGCCAATCCCCACTCTGAGATCCACAGGGGTCTCAGGAGCGCCCTGGCTGCTTCACTTAAGAGCCAGAAACTGGGGGCAGTGGCTCACACCTGTTACCTCAGCATTTTGGAAAGCCGAGGAGCCCAGGAGTTCAACTTGAGGCCAGGAGTTCAAGACCAGCCTAGGCAACATAGCATGACCCCATCTCTACAAAAAGTTTAAAAAAATTAGCTGGGCATGGTGGCATGTGTCTGTACTCTCAGCTGCTCAGGAGGCTGAGGCAGGAGGATTACTTGAACCTACGAGTTCAAGGCTGCAGTGAGCTATAATCACTCCATTGCACTTCAGTCTGGGCTACAGAGCAAGACCCTGTCTGTAAACAATAAACATCTAAAAAGTGCCAGAAAGAAAGTAATCCTGAAACCAAATGGATATGACACCGGGTTACAGCTAGGAGGATTTTAGGGCTCTCTCCCTCCCTCCAATCCAAGGGCCACCTAAAAAGGGCAATCTCAGGCCCTAGGATCCACTTCTATTGATGGGATTTCCTTCAACCTGAATGAGGACAGGGAAGCTGTTGTCACTGCTGCCTTGCCAACATGTATTCAGATCACCTCACCATGAAGGCCACACCCACACCTTTTGTACTTGAGAGGCCAGGATTGCTGAGGGTAGATGGTCCATATTTTGGGACTCACTGTCTTTGGGATCTTAGGCTTTGCTGGCCTCAGTGTCCACTGTCATCACTGTCCTGGGCACTGGGCAGGAGGGCTTTTTGGCAGAAGTGCTAGGAAGGGCCACTCTGAAACACCACAGCAGGTGTGCAGCATAACCCGCCTTGACTGTCCATACGCCAATGCCCATTTCAAGGCATTAAGATACCCACTACCAGGCCCTGCAGGTGAAGGCATGGTGGCGGCTCAACTTGCTCCTTCCATTCAGTCTGAATGTCCCTCCTGGGAACGTCTGCCTGGAGCAAACCCAGCACTGGACAGAAGCGTCCAGGACAACGCCCACTCCAAGAATGTCTCCTCATCTTTAGTTCATAAAATCAAAAGTGAGGGAAAGCAATGTAATCATATTCAGTATTGTCCATAAGTCACCAGGAAATAATAATTATACAATACAGAAATAATGGAAAACACTCTTCCAGAATAGCTATAATGAAAGTTGGTGCCCTAAGGAAGGAGATACATACCTCTCCTACAATCCACACAAGTTATCAAAAACAGTGTCATTCATAGTTTTTAAGGAAAATATGAATATTTTACACAAAGCAAAAATCTGAAAATGCGGCTTTCCTACATTTGGGAATGGTGCAGAAAAGACAGCATTTAGAACTTGCTGGAGTGTGATCACCACCAGAATGCTGGTGCTGGCAGGAATGGCGATGGTTTAGTCCAACACCCTCACCACAG